AAGAGTATGTAATTCAACAAAAATCCCGAAACCTTAAAATTGAGTACTTCGCCGCCCACCCCTGGGCGGCGCTCTGGGCGGCGCGTTGACATGGCCGCCACGGCCCTGAAGGCAACGGAGACGACGCCAGCCATCAGCATGAGTGTTTATCACACAGATCTATCGTCCAGCACCCAACCATGGCACCCACCACCAACTTTTGGAGTCCTTGTGACGTTGCTCGACGAGGGTGGGCGGCGAAGTACATGATTACGTCAGATCATGTACTTCGCCGCCCACCCCGCCGCCCACCCACTGGTGTGACTGCCGCGGCAGCGTGACAAAGGTGGGCGGCGATGGGGCTAGGTGATGCGGCGGTGGGCGGCTGGTGGGCGGCGGTGGGCGGCGAAATATATCTGCCCGTAGCGGAGGCGGCGATGTTGTTGAGGAAGGGGGGAAAACAGTCAGGTTTACATAGAGCTCAATACTGGGAAGCAGCTGCAGTAATCGGCACTCGAAAGTCAGAGGGGTCGGTGTCAAAGGTGTGATGTGGATGTTGCGGCCGGCTGTTGTAGCAGGGACACATAACGGAGACTACAATCGAGACCAAAACTGGCACTGCTATTTCGTATGTAAGCACTGTTTACCTGGATAAGCAGACATCCGACTCGGAATGAAACTGAGGAGGTACAGACAAGCACGGCCACCAGCGGCTTCAAGCAATCTTCTCCTCTGCAGTCGTACAGCTGGCGGAGCTCCTGCGCCGCCTCCCTCCGGACCGGTGTAAGCACGTTGACCAGCCAGAAGCGAGCAAGAGCGCAGTCAAGACAGCGCAGTGCGGCGGCCAGCTCTGAATGGCACGTCACGCGATGACGAGGTAGGTCGATGCAAGCTGCTACTTGGACCTTGCTCGCCGAGCCGCGCCGAGTCACTGCGCCGCGCACCATTCGCCGCCACAGGTTATGATGAGAGCAAGGCCCGGGCGCGGCGTGGCGGCAATAGTGCTGCGGGCAAGCTGCAAGCTAGCCGCTATACAACTTGAGGCTCCCGGCGTCGTGGTTAGAGATGTTGGTGAAGTTCCAGGAAGACATCAACGCACGCGGGCCCGGCATGCCCGGTGACACTACCCAGGTGTTCCGTGTGTTGGTCGTGGTGGAGCAGAGACAAGATGTACTGTAAGATTTTATTCAATTCGTATGTCACATGTCACACGACCGATTTTATACGAAATTTTTTCGTATGTCACAGCAAAAAGTGGATTTTGGCTTCCCAAAATGGTAATTTTTCACAATTCCGGCGCCTTTGGCGCGCGAAATTGCCAAATGGGGAACATCATACGAATGTTTTCGGACATCAATGTGTCACAGCCCCCCGGGCCATTCGAATTGAATAAAATCTTACAGTAGAGTCTCGAGATCTCAATCACCGATCATCTGTCAACCTCGACGCCGGCGGCCAACGCTGATGGCGATGACGACGACGGCGCGGGCAACGCAGCATGCGTTCAAGAGGAGATGGTGGGAAGGAACGCAATGGGCTCGGTTGGCAACCCGGTAACAAGAGGACGGAGGTCAACAGACTGCATACTCAGCCTCAGCTGCCGCTTACTTGGGAAGCGGCTGTACCACATTACCGCTCTCCTCGTTTGGCTGGGAGCCGCGCCCTGTCACACGAGCGCCGCGTAGGAGCCGCGCCGCGCCGCGCAAAAACTGCCACCCGCCGCGCACCACCAAAAGTACGCGGCGAAATACAGGTTGCAAGCCGCTCACCGCCGCATCGAGCCGCGCACCCCAAGAAGTCGAAGGCTGGTGCTCGACGACGAGAGCACCGTTCGAGCCGCGCAGTAGCACGTTCGGAAGGACTCGACGGGGGCTACCGAGCGGCCCAAAGACAATGGCATTAGCTTAAGAATAAACAAAGATATTGTCTACACAATATTTCACAGAGCCGCGCACCTGCCGATTCCGAGCCTTGCCCCACGGCTACCGTTGCTACCTGCAGCCTTCTTCTTGGCCTTTTGTGCGGCACCCGGTATATTCACTGGCGGTCGTGAGATGGGAAGTGTCGATGAGGATGCATTGGGCAGAGAACGTGGGGAAGGGGATGGATTATTGACCGCAGTTGTCGTTGTCGCACTCGTTTGGGGTGAATCTGCGTCTGACGCAGCATTACCAGTGATGAATTGGCGTGCAAAGGTGAATTTGGGTTGTCGCCGGTAGAGCTCCGGATTCTGTAGCATGTCTTTGAGTCGGGGAAGGGGTGTCGTAGCCGTTGGCTGGTTTTCCGTTGATATTGTTTGCACAACAAGCCCACGCAACTCGTTAGCTTCGGGTACCGCGGGTGGCGCTGGCCTAGCATCAGGAAGAGGCGGTGGAGAGCGATGAGGGACCAAATCTGCGAATGAATCGACAGACCCCATATTTGGGGTTGGAACAACTGGTGAAAAGTCGGCCAGCTGCAATTCGTCATCTATTTGCGACAAATCCACATCAGGAAAACTCAATCTTCCTGGGAGCCCTGGTGCTATGACATCCAGGGCATTAACAGGTATCCCAGCCTGCCAGAATCTCTCTGGCCCCATTAATGACATAGCAAGCTCCAATCTTCATTCTGGCCCCAGAATCTTGCCAGGTCATTGTCTAGGCTGCATCCAGACAGTTGTCCAGGTAACGACAATATTTCTTCCATCATACCAATGAATATTAAATCGAATTTATTTGTACTTAGGTAGTTAAATTGTGGAATATTACTCGGAGCTGGTGGTCATCTCGTCGTCAGTTTGCACTGGTGTAGTTTGAGGTACATCATCATCATCATCCACCTCTTCTTCATCATCGGAGATGACGATGTCGGAACGGGCATTGGGACCACTGTCGGCAGGTGAAGACGTCGACGCAGAGGGAGTCTTGCGAAGTATATGATGAGCAAGGGTCCAGATCTCCCCCCACTTCTGGTTGGAGAGGCCACGGATACCCTCAAGGTATGCTTTGGCGTGGTCGGCCCACGGGTCCTCGATAAAGCTGGCGGCTTTTGGTTTGCCCTCGCGGGTGACACCGTCTGTCTTTCGGAGACTCCCTGTCGACCAGAGTTTGAGAGCGCGCTCAGCCTGTCAAGTATCAATAATATGCCTGACACAAGCAGATTCACTCACTGCTGCTGCTGCGAGAGACAGGGCTCCAATTGGCTGCCCGTATGAGACATGTGCCTTCCGAGTTTGTCGGCAGTGGACAGCGAAGGTTGCAATTATGAAGTCCGAGCGGTATACCCCAGTCTCGCGACAATATGAGTATAATGTTCACCCATATAGCGAGCACGCACCTTCTTTTTCGGATCTTTGTAGAGAAACGAGTTCCCCGCCAATGCCGAATTGACGTAGTCGATACGCTCCGCATGTGTTTTGTTTTGAAGCTCACGATTGAGCCAGTGGAGGGCAGCCTTGCCGACATCGCTCCGGTACGAGAATACGTGGCTGTTAAGCTAAAGTAGGATATGAGCCCGGATTATCGATATCCAGAATGACACACCAAGAATTGGGTGATCTCATTGTACGCATATGGCGAGTCTTCATCGCTCGAAAAGTGGTCGTGGTAGAGTTTGATGACAGTCGGCCAGAAGGTGGGCAAGTGGTGAACAGTAAAGATGTCGGCCTTGGAGCCTACGTAGTCGATGACCGAATGCTTGACCTCTTCGAAGACCACAAGGTCGTTGCGAGAGAAGCCAACAAGATCCCCGTAGTTGTATGTGGGCTTTGCGGTCCTGCGATTAGCTTTGGGTTTTGCGGCCCGTGGAAACTGTCGACGACGCGCGTGTAAAGCTGATGCCCATCTGAAGTCCCATCATTAAGCTTCACACGTTTCTTCACTTGACACTCACCTTCGTCGTCATCTCGTCCTCGTCCTGCGTCCCCATCGATTCAACCTCGCTATGGCGGCCATCTTCTTCAATATCGGAAGCTTGTGGGGTAGAAGAGGCAGAGCTGCGGGAGAGCGACCGTGTCCAAGATTGGGCTTGCGACTTTGTGGTGGTCGGCTTTGGAGCGCCGACTTTGTCTCTCCAATCCGGATTGAGCCCACCCATGGCTGCTTTGGGTCGCTTTGAGGCTCTAATACATGGGTGATTTGCCTGCAAACACGGTAGCGCGGAAAGACATACGTGGTGGGCTCATCCTCAAGTCGTGTTTTGCGTTTTGCTTGTGGTGCCGTCTGGGGGTTGGTCATGGGCAGCGACGCCAGATGAACTTCGCGGCGGACACTCCCCTGGTGTCGTATAAATGGTAAGTATATGCAAAACCACCGTGACAACGCTCACCTTTACCTTTTTTCTCTTCGCAGCCTTTTTCGCCTCCAATGCCTGGATTTGCTCATCAATATCGTTGCTGGAGTCCTCGTCTGGGTCCGACTCGGCGTCGACAGCCATTTCCACATAGCTGGGGTCCTTGTCAGAGTCGTCGCCATCGCCATCGCCGTCAGCCTCTCATTCTAAAAACTCGGATGGCCGGTCCAAAGCCTCCTCGCTGTTGGTGGAGACGACAAGCGTTGCCTATAATGGAGCAAGTGGTGGTTCAGAAAGGCGAGGGGAAGAGTTACTCACCTTGTCCGCTGCTGCAACGGCAGCTTTGTTCAAGGCTGTCGCAACGAAGTCAGGGCGGTCACTGGCAGCATGAGCAGCAGCATCCTCCGCGCGAGCTCTCTTTTCGGCTTCGGCTGCTCGGCGGACAAGTGCCTGGTGCTTGTCCTCCTTCGCCTTCTCTTTGGCTGCTTTCTTGGCTGCCTTTTCCTGTCGTTCAGCGGCCACCACATCTGAAGAACGACGGGGTTGTTGTGCCGCTTTTAGGATGTCGCCTGGCCTTGCACCAGACGTCTCCCGGCGGTTGCGCTTGTCCATGGCGGCAAGGGGAGGCAAACGAGACGAGAGGAGGAGAGGGAAGGATGCAAAGAAGTTTTTTTGCTTGTCGATCCCGTCGACTGCGCCCGGCGGTGATGCTAGGCCGTTCTTCCGAAACACGTGGCACCCCTTCCCCAATGCCTCCATCCACTCTGCCGCAAGACACTCTAAGACGCCGAGTTTGCCCGCACCCTGGGTGCAATGCACGCCCCAGAACCGCCCGTGCGCTAACCTACCACCTCCGCTCAATCCACGGCGATACTATCATTCAGCGCACATCGACGATCGACCATCGATCGACACCCAGCCCCGAACCCAATGAAGTCTTTGACTTCGGTGAACCAGATACTATACCAGCCTCCCCGCCTCCGCCCCCCGCACCCTTCTTTGGCGACAAATGCAGGTGCAGGTCATCAACAAGGTCAACGACTGAGGCATCCATTCCTCACAGGTGTGTCCTTTGCTGTGAGATTTGCCACGACACTGATTATCCAGCAGGGCGCCCGTGCAATGCAAACGGCGACTATCTTCCGCCTGGGACACCGCCTCCACCTCGCACAGCGGCAGAACCTAATGATTGGTCTCCATACAACGACGAAGTACGCTTCGAGCTGGCCGACTTACTCTTTCGAAAGCAGCAGTCCTCCCAAAAGCATATCACGGAGCTTTTGCGGATTTGGGCCATCGATCGACAAAGACTGGGAGCAGAGCTGGGTCCCTTCCGCGACTACCAGGAGATCTATGACACAATTGATTCTACACTTCTCGGCGATGCACCATGGAAGTGTCTTGTGATGGACCCGCTTACCGACGACGCCAGTGCCCCCACATGGGCCCGACGGTCTTACGAGGTCTGGTATCGCGACCCGGCGACCATCATCAAGAATATGCTCGACAATCCCGCATTCGATGGGGCTTTCGATACTGCTCCCTATATCCACCTCGATGCTGATGGTAAACGACGCTGGCACGATTTTATGTCTGCCAATTTCGCATATCGCCACTCTGTGCGTATACGATGCTCAGGGAACAGCAGCGACTAACTGTTTGGCTAGACTACCATCTATGAAAGCGACCCATCGACGGAGGGGGGCGATGTACGTGCCGTTATTCTTCGGCGCGGATAAAACAACTGTCTCGGTTGGGACGGGCAATGTCGAATATCATCCGGGGTATCTTTCCTTGGGGAACTTTCATAGTAGTATGCGCCCGCGCACATCGAGATTCAATTATTCCCTTCGTCTTCCTCGCTATTCCCAAAAGTACGACTTAGTATTTGTAATTCATGATCTCAAAACTTTCTCAGGTGAACGAAAGGACGACAATGACCCACAGTTTCGATTATTCAAAAAACAGTTGTACCATGCATCGTTGGCCAAGGTCCTTGAGTCATTGAAGCCAGGGATGACAACCCCGATTGTTCTTCGTTGCCCTGATGGCCACTACCGTCGTGCGATATATGACTTCGGCCTGTTTATTGCGGATTATCCCGAGCAGGTAATGCTTGCGTGTATTGTCCAGAATTGGTGTGCAAAGTGAGTTTTCTCTGTTCCGTTTTGTAATCCTTGAAATCTTCCGTTCTGCCATAGATGTAGCGCTTTGGCTACAGAGCTTGATGGTGATATCGGTGTTCGCCGAACTAAGGCCCGGAATCGTGAACTGATTAGCATATACGATGGAGACCAAAAAACGCTGTGGGACTCATATGGTATGAACATCGATGTCATTGTATGTACAATCCTCCGATCGTCTTCCGACTAATGCTTGGGTAGCCTTTTACGCAGGACTTCCCCCGAGCGGACATTCATGAGATGCTCTCTCCCGATCTTCTTCACCAAATGATCAAAGGTACATTCAAAGACCACCTGGTGACTTGGGTCGGCGAATACCTTTATCTTACGCATCCTCCTGCTGTTGCCGATGGTATCATGGATGAAATTGACCGACGGTCAGACACATTAGCACAGGAATACGGACTTGACTGAATTCTAGACAGCATCGCTGCAGTGCCTGGTTTCCCAGGTCTGCGTCGGTTTAAAGATGGTCGCCGTTTCAGCCAGTGGACTGGCGATGACTCAAAAGCGCTCATGAAGGTCTGCTGCGTTACATATTCAAGCATCATCATCATATTGATTATTTAGGTGTATCTGCCTGCGATCAAGGGTCTTGTACCTGACCCAATTGTGCTGGCGCTACGTCACTTTCTCGATTTCTGCTACTTAGTTCGTCGCTCCGACTTCAACGAGGACAGCCTAGCAGCAATTGAGCAGACGGTCATCGAGTTTCATCGCTGTTGCGAGGTCTTTCGTCAGCTTGGAGTGCGAGAGGAGTTTTCCCTTCCACGTCAACACTCAATGAAGCATTATGGGGCAGATATCCGTGAGTTTGGAGCACCAAATGGTGTTTGTTCTTCAATGACGGAGTCTCGCCACATCACTGCTGTGAAGGAGCCTTGGCGCCGTTCGAGCCGCTTTGAGGCGCTCGGTCAAATGCTGTTGACAAATCAGCGGCTGGATAAACTCACGGCTTCAAGGGCCGACTTTGTCGAACGTGGAATGCTGGTCTCCGAGGTGAAGGATTTGCCCGACAATCGAACCTTGGAGGATGACAAGGAGGAGGATGTCTCAGATGAGCTGCGCGTTGATGCTCATGTTCTTCTTGCTCGTACAAGAGGTAATGTCTACAAGAAATGTCGTTAGACACTGACTTTGCTCTTAGATCGCTCATACCCTCAGAGAATCCATTCTCTGGCTGAGCATACTGGCTGGCGGCAGCTTCCGCAGCTTGTCCAAGCATTTCTTGAAGACCAACTCTACGATGGCCGACCACCTACTGCCTACAACTCGGATTCTGATGATGACATTGATGTCAAGGACCTGACAATCTCCGTCTTCCATTCCGCTGTCGCTTCATTCTATGCACCCAGTGACATTTCCGGTATTCGAGGTATGCGACGCGAGTGGATTCGGTCCACTCCACGTTGGCGAGGATCTGGTCAACGCCGAGATTGTGTGTATGTGGTTGAAGATGAAGCGTCGAGTGGGTTCCGCGGAATGAGCGTGGTGAGAGTGCAACTACTCTTTTCATTCATTTTTGATGCTGTCACCTATCCATGTGCCCTGGTGGAATGGTTCAAGAAGGTCGGCCGCTCCCCCGATCCAACAACCGGCATGTGGCTGGTTGAGCCCGAGCAACAGGGCAATTCACGTTTGGTCACTGTTGTGCATCTTGACAGTGTGCTTCGTGGCGCGCATCTGATCCCAGTCTTTGGAGAGCGGCGTCTTCCCATCGATTTCCAACACACATACTCCTTAGATTCCTTTCAAAGCTTTCATGTAAACAAGTATATAGATCATCATGCAAATGAGATTCTATTTTAACTAGATACACTCTGGGAAATTAGATATTCTGTGGGAGGCCTGGAGATATTCTGGAATTCAGATAAACTCTGGACAGTTCTGGGATACCTGTCAACAGATCTCCCAGGGTGCCAGACCTCCCAGACCGGCCCAGGTCGATGGAGTTTTGCTGATGCACGCGGGGGCTCGTAACAGACATGTCGTCAGTATCGGAGCGCGTTGAGGGAGTTTGAGGTGGGTACTCCGATGTCAGAGCGTCCATCGAAGATGTCCCATCGTCACGTCCCACATGCGGAAGTCGAATTCTGCCATGTCGTTAAATTCTGCCATGTCGTTAAATTCTGCCATGTCGTTATGCTCCCACCCATTGTAGTGTTGCTTGTTGAGCAGGTCATCGGGCAACCGAAGTCGTAGTGGGGGAGGAGATGTGTTGAGAGGGAAGCGAGTGAGGAAGTCACCGTCGTTGTCGTCCATTGAGGGAGGAACAGTGATTGGGGGTATCGCCGCCGTTTCAGCGATATAAGGACGATGGAAGGATAAGGGAGGGGGGACATTTGGGGACATCGTTTCCATTTGAGTCAAAGAAGGATGAAGAAACGGGGTGGGGATAATTGGGGAATCATTTGCGTGTGGTTGCTTGCTGGCGGTGGTGGGGGGGGACGGGCTGCTGCTTGGAGACGAGTATACGATGGTGTCGAGCCAGTTGTTGGCGGTTTCGAGGGTGGGAAGTGCCCGTGCCCTTCTTCGCATTTCGCTCGCTAAAGCAACCAAGTCAGAAAATGTGCGAGCTTTCAGCCCAAAGCACGCACAGTATTTCAGTTTGAGCCACTCGTTTGTTACTTGAATGACGCTAGGCCATATGTCAATCGCCTCGGCGAGCGATACACCAGCGAGGGGTGATGGACCCGCAGGAGTGACTCCACTGCAGAAGCTGCATGAAAGTGTTTTAGAGAAAGAAAGAGTTGTGACATTATGGAGTAACAGACGTTTCGACAACTATCTTGCCTCCTTCCTCTGGCATCGGACCCCCCAGAAGCGTGACCCCCATCCAGCCCGTGGCACGAAAGATGGCCTCGTGGAATTTCTTGAGTACCCCTCGCATCTGGTTGATTCCACTGATACAAGGGTCAACAAAGAGCGAATCTAAATGAGCTTGGCGGACTTACATCTGAATCTCCTCTGGCGCCATTGTCTCGCTACTCGTGCTTTCTCCATCGTCTAACTCGGGCTGCGCCAAGTACTCCTCTTGAACAGAGGCCTTTTCGGCGTCAGATTGGGCGTCATAGCAGTCTTGAATCACTTTGCGTCTGGTCGCAATCATGATAGCTGCCAACTAGAACGACGACTATGTCAGTAAGTGGATGAAGAAGAGATTATCGCTAACCGTGTCGGTTTTCTTTTCCGAGGCGCCCTCATTGTCGTCGTCATTGTCGTCCAAATCAACAGTTTTTGGTCCACCACTTGTCATCTCTGCCTGCTGTCGCGCTCGATATGCTTCACGAGCGGCGTCGATAGCAATCTTCACGAGCGGCTCGAGCTTGGCCTTATGACGACGACCATATACCTCTATCTCCTGCAGTCGTCGCCCGCGCTTTCCCAGCAAACGCAAGACAGTCTGGCCCAAGGGCCCTTTAACTGTTGCCGTAGTGGTAGGTTCGCTGTTTTGTTTCTTGCGCGCGCGGGAAGCTGCGTTATTGAACCAATCGTTAAACTTCTAATAGGCGTGTCAGTCTTCGAAGGCCAAAAGACATCTCGTTTAACAAACTTTCTGTGTCGCGCGCTCGAGGAGACCGACACGGGTCAGCTCCTCGTCGACAATTTTGCGCTGCTCCGGTGAGAGTGCTTGCATCCCCTCCTCGTTCTGTGGTATATCGATGTTGGGTTGTTTCGGGACAGGCCAAGCAGCCGCGAAGCTGCTGTACTTCTTCTGCAAGAAGTTTCCGGGCTTGAGATTCCGTTGCGCAGCTTGGAAGGCAGGGAGCTCTTGCTTGAGCCACTTGAGTTGCTGGGGAGTAAAGCTGCTCTGCCGTCCGCGCAGACCAGAGGATGAAGAGGAGGAAGACATTTTCGCAAGTCGATTATGGATGAGAGGGATTAGAAAACCTCAAGGCAAGCACGCATTTTTTCTCTCTTTTTTTTATTTCCGGAAAATCCATCTTTCCTCGTTGATCTATCTCTAGCCTTCGTGTTCCACAAACGCACAAACACACAAACGCCCGATCGGGCTAGCGTGAAGGTCGGTCATCTGTTGCCTTCCATCATCCGATGTGACCGAAATCATGTGGCAGGTAAAGCCAAGTACAAATTCGAAAGCTGAAAGCTCGACCGCTTACCACTTTCCCCCACTATCTTGCTCCTGATGACGACCCAGACACCCACCTCGGCCACTACACCATCCAATTACAACTTGGTTGCTGTAGTTGCCGAGCTGGCGGACATCGCGGAAGTCGCTATTGGCCTTGCCAAACGTTTGGACATCGTCAAAGGTCTGCGCTGCAGCTGTCATAGTCATTTCCTGACCACACCGTCCAGTTGTTCTCCCAGAAAAAGTCGACAGTTTCGTGGCAAATGCGCTATCGGAGGCGCTCGACAGCAACATCTTGGTCAGCAGCATGGGCAGCACCATCGACGGTAAGATTCGATTGTTTTCCTTCACGATTGGTGATTTACCCGATCCCAGTCTCCGAGGCAGCCGCCAACACGTCAAGCTCCATTGGCGACTTCGAGCCTGTCGATGCGGCGGACCTCGCGCCGCCGCGATCCTTCGTCCAGACTCTGACCGCCTCGTAGGCCTGATGAAGTTGCTCGTGATTTCCAAGGCCCCAACCCTCCCCCCGACATCTGGTACCAAGTCGTCACTGTGGGCCGTGAACCCGGTGTCTATATAAGCGCGTAAGTCCTTATTGGCCGAGTATTGCGTGTTTTCATTATCCAATAATCCAGAGCTGAGGCAACTCGACTTGTCGAAGGCATCCCGGGCAACTCTCGTGCCAAGGCGAAGGGCTTTGCCGCAGCAATGGCGACCTACACAGCGGCATTCGAAAAAGGCCTTGTGGAGAAGCTTGTTCTAGCCCACGAGGCGTCGGTGGATGACTTGGTTTTGTGAGTGCTTGACAATGCCAAAGGGTATCTGTATGCTGATTTGCAGTAGGCCCGCGCCGGCCAACGAAACTACCACTTGGCCTCCCGTCCTTCCAGCTGCGCCAGGCCCCGCAATGACCCCAGCACCTGCACCCGCTGCTGCACCTGCGCCTGCACCCCCTGTGCCTGCCGCTGCACCCGCCGCTGCGCCAAGCCAAGCCAAAGCAAAGCGGTATGTGATCTCACCCATTGTCATCTCACTGTTTTGATACTCGGATAGTGACATTCTCTCGATTGAGGTTCGCCTCCCCAACGTTTTCTGTGCTGATTGCACGGCAAAGCTCGAGCGCTTGCATTCGCTGAAGGCCGAGTAAATAGTTCACATGTGTATCTGGTGTCGCTCGTATGCAAAAAATTGTTACAATGTTGGAACTCCGGGAGATCTACATATTATGCACATCTAAGATGGTATTGTTCCGCCACTCTTCGATGCTCACTGCCTTGCTCTCCTGCAAATATTTGACCGTAAATTGGGGCACATGATTCCAGCCATCAGTATCCTGCTTGGTGAGTGCAAAACCTCGAACACGGACATTGTTGAGAACCCACACTCGCATCTGATCATACTGAGTTCCTGTCAATGTGAGTTCACCAGAACGCTTCCACTCGTTGTGTTGTGTCGATGTGACCGGGGTGATTCCCGATGGAAGGCGATCGAGCCGGTGCATGATCTCGACAATGACCCGGGGCGTAAAAACTTTAGCCCAGTGTGCTTGGGAACGTCGTCCGAGATTGCGCCAGCGTCGTCGTGCAACAATGTATCTAATGTGAAGACCGATAAGTAAAATGACAGTCCCGGCGCTCGATGGGGACTCACTCGACAGGGTCTACGTCTGTTAAGCGTGGAATTACATCCAAGCCTACACTCCCAGATGGCTCGTGGGTCATGCGCAAGGCCAGGCCCTCGAACGAAGCGATAGAGGATGCGTTGGAGCCAGGATCCCTATTAACCTTGCAGAATAGATGAATGAACCATTAGAGCACCTACACATCGGACGCAGCTTGAGATGCTGGACATGAGAGGATGGTCTCATTGTCACAACATGCGGAGTCTGCAAGAGGTGCCAGCGGTCGAAAGCTACAGACAGTGGACTGTCTAATTCACGATGATAACCTGTTAGCATACTTGAAATATGTCGGAATGAACACTCACGAACTCGTATTGCTCGGTTTCGCCTCGTCTTCGCGCTGTGAATGCAGAGCACTGCTGGCTTCAGAGCTATCGACAGGACTGTCCATGGCATTTGCATGGGTACGGCGATGCCGAGGAAGCTTGCAAAGGATTTGAGTTGCTTTCATGGTCTGGCTGGAAAATCAGTCCATGTTGCGTGCATGGCCGGCGCCTCTGTTAAACGCTCACCGATATCTTCTCTTGTAAGCCTTGTCTCGACACTGAATAGCTGACTTGTGACTGAGAGCGGAGGATCATGAGCTAGGGTAATGGGTATGAATTGTAGAGCCGCACCGAGCACGGTAGACCGCATGCGCTTTGGCTTTCTGTTCCCCAAGATGCTTTGCCGGAGTCCACTCCGCTTTCTCGTACTCTGTGCTTGATTGGCTCAGCGTTTGAATGAGAACAGATAGAATGGTGTGACTTTGCTGCCGACTAGTTCTGTGAGCGGTCATGGTGATGGAGTATGGAAGTTTAAGGAAGAAGGCAAGTGTTACACTGCTAAATCAATTCTCATTACGACTCAATTGTGCACCCTCAAAACAGAGTCAACTCTTTAAACAGTGGATTGTCGCATAAATTTTTAGACCAATCGACTGCGCTATATCCTGGGAGCACGTCCCTGACAATTTTAGCACCACTGCACAATTTCAAACGGGTGAAATATAGGACCCATTTTGTCGGCGAGAAAAAAAGTCATTGGATTTGCTCAGTTTTTTTTCTGTGTGCGGCATATGTCCTCTGGGATGCTCGATATATGGCTATTTAGCTTATTTGTGGATTTACAAACGTGCTGAAGTGAAATCTCTCATATCTGAAAAGGGAAACGCCGCGATAAGCGCTCTGGTCACACCGGGTCACACGGCCTCGTCACCTTCCTCTTGCCAGCTCATCGTCATCGATTCCTCCTCCCATCTTTCTGTCTCCCGTGCGCAGCCCGCATGGGTCGTTGAAACTCAAGGTGCTTCCAGCCATGTATTTCGTGACTTCTGCTCACCCTTTCCCCCCCAGCTTGTTGTCTTTCGACTCTGCTTTGCACGTCTTCCCCTCTGTCGGCCTCCTTCTCTGTTTATAAGGTGTGTCCAGCCACGTATTTCGTGACTTCCGCTCACCGTTTTCCTCAGCTCGACTTTGCTTTGCACGTCTTCCCCTCTGTCGGGCCTCCTTCTGTGTTTATAAGGTGTGTCCAGCCACGTATTTCGTGACTTCCGCTCACCGTTTTCCTCAGCTCGACTTTGCTTTGCATGTCTTCCCCTCTGTGGCCTCCTTCTGTGTTTACAAGGTGTGTCCAGCCGCAGATTTCATAACTCTCGCTCACCGTTTCACCCAGCTCATTGTTTTTCGACTCCCGCTCACCGTTTCCCCCCAGCTCGTTGTTTTTCGACTCTGCTTTGCACGTCTTCCCCTCTGTCGGGCCTCCTTCTGTGTTTACAAGGTGTGTCCAGCCACATATTTCATGACTCCCGCTCACCTTTTTCCCTCAGCTCGTTGCTTCTCGATTCCGCTTGACCTACTCGATATATGGTCGTGTCTCCCCGGTCCAGCGGCTAGTATGGTGGTTACAACCTGAAGTGCGTCTACCGCTTCTACTCACGGACCTACTCTGATTGTTTTCAAGCTCGTCCTGTCTTCCCCGAACCCAGAACGACCTTTGCTGCGGAACAACCTTTAACTTCTTTCCTCCCGCTGCCGCCTACATCGTTACATGCTTCCCACACGCTGTGTCTTACATATCGAAGCCCAACGCTACTCATCCACGTACTTCGCTGACATTGTCGTCTAAACGTCGTTGATTACAATCTACATGTTACTTTGCTCCATAGCTAGTGCTGCTATGTGCCACGCTGTCTCAACTGCCTCATAGCTCCTCGAGCATGCCAATGCCACCACTGCCTCTGCCTGCTCCCTATTAGGATGGACACGGATCGTGTGCGACGAAGACGGACTAAAGCTTGGCATTTGTCAGCGCCATTACACCAGACATCGAATGCTTACTGGCTGACGAAGACTTCATTCTGTCCGTCGACAGAGAAGTAGATCGGCTTCGTCCCATGGAAAGCACCTCCAACGTCTATGAAATGACCGCGAAATTGAGGGAGTAGAGGCAGATAGGCCAGGACCGAATTCCAGTTCGCTGCAACATATATAGGATGGCGAGTAAGCTGCGATAGGCCCTGATCGTCAATGTCGATACCAATAGCACTCTGTTGCAGCGCTATATGTCTATGCATGGAAATGAGCAACGAATGAAAAATCCATAGATGAAACAAAGATACATATTCGGGCTAAGTACCCCGCTCGATGACAGATACCAAGGTTGGTCGGAGTCGTGGCGGTTACATGCTGTTGCCCCCATCCTATCCACAGGCTCCAGTGCTGGAATCTCATCGTCAGAACCGGTGCTGGTGTCAATGGTATCCGCGTTCGAGCTGTCGCCGCCCAGGCAACCCAGGGGAATGGTGCCATTTACAGCGTCGTAAGAGTATCTGAAAAACAATGTCAATGCAGTCCATTCGAGAGGAGAAAAGTCGAGAGACACACCCCACATGAAGACCAGCCTGAGCAGCAAATATGTAGTCATGATTCACGTAGCGCTCGCCGATTTGGAGATCGAATCCCATGTGTTGTGGCACGGTCATTTGAGGGGGGGTGAGTCACTCGGGTTCTCCAGAATTTAATCCCCCCCAGTCACAGCATGCCGACTGGGTCATGGGGCGGCAGTATACCGAGCATCCGAGAAAAATCAAACAAGCATGCAGCAGTCTGAGGTCGTTTTTTAAAAAGACGCGACACTTGTGACATCTACATGTGATCGTGCCACTGACCGCCATGCCATGATCATCGTACCAAGACTCGAATGCCTCTTGACGACGCCTCACCACCATGCCTCCCATCCAGTTCCGAGCCTCCCGAGCGGTCTTCGACAGTGACAGCGACGAGGAGATGGCAGCAGCTCCTCGTATGGGCAGTTTCCGCCACAATATTTCCATTGCTACTGGTGGCCAGCTGAAAACTAGAACGGAGAAAGTTCCCGCAATGGTCTCACCTCAAAAGCGACAGCCCCGGATTCACGAGCCCCTGCAACCGGATGAGCTGACATCTCGCAGCATTTTTGCTGCTCTTGAGGCTGGCGAAAACCCGTGGATGAACGAGGGTTTCGAGTTTGATGAAGGGCATCCAATCGAAAAGCGACTGATGCGCCCCTCGGTATGATTCTTTGCACTGACAGTAGTAAGTGCTGATTGATATTCTCTAGGAACGGCCACTGGCTGTATGGGCACAAACCGACGTTGACTCGTATCTCGACGAGATAATGATTCTGGAGGGAATACCACCAGCACATGTGTGCTTTCGCTGCGGGAAGGAGGCCATTTTGCGATGCCGCGACTGCTTTATTCCTCTGAATGCGGTTTGCTGCACCGACTGCATGCTCCACCAGCATCGCAACTTGCCATTTCATCGCCCTGAGGTGTGTATTTCAGGTTTCTCATCGTGTTGGTGCTCAAGAGAATCTTAGCGATGGGGTGGCTCTTTCTTCGAGCCAATTACTCTCAAATCCCTCGGTTTACGCGTCCAGCTCGGCCATGCAAGTGGTGTCAAATGCCCGGGGACCCTCGCTCGCCTGGCAGCTGGTGCAGACATCTCTGCTACCGATGACGACTTCTTCATCGTCGATTGCAATGGTATTCATACCATTTCAGTCGACTTCTGCACTTGTCCCTCTGCTCGGGAGAGAACGATACAGCTTCTTCAGGCACGTTTGTTCCCTGCAACCTCGACCCGACCTCGTACGGCCGCAACATTCCAAGTTCTTCGCCTATTTCACCTCATCTCGTTCGAGGCGAAGTCCTCCGCTTACGAGTTTTACAATGGACTCGCTCGATTGACTAATAACAATGGTATCTTTGTACCCCGGGTGCGTATTTTCACAAAATCGATGAATCCAGAGTGACTGACGCTTGCTGCTTTCCAGGATAGATATCGCGAATTTCTTCATATGACTCGCGAATGGCGATACCTTCAAATGCTCAAGCGGGCTGGACGGGGACACGAGCCGAATGGAACCCAAAATATACCCGCCGGCGCCTGTGCATTACTTTGCCCTGCCTGTCCCCAGCCTGGGATGAACCTGCCCAACGATGATAGTTGGCGGAACGGCCCCGTCAACAAACGCTTCCGGTACTCGCTGTTTCTCGCCATCGACGCTAACTTCAAAATGAAGAGAAAGCAAGTCTTGACCGAAGAAGCCGATCCAGGCCTCAATCAGGGATCAGCGTTCTTCGGAGACGTCAAGAGCTATATGGACCATGTCCACGAGCATTAGGGTCTTGAGCAAGAGGTGTGTCGCTTCGTTCCACGAGCCTTGTGCGCCGTACTGACTACCTACTCAGAAAAGTACTTGTGTCTCGCATGACGCGGTCAATGAGCCCGACCGCGAGTCGCGCGGCACGGCTTCATCAGGGATCGGTACTGTGGACTGTGCTCGGCATAACATGAAGCGGCCGAATGCAGTGGGCGATTTGCAAAAAGGAGAACGGTATGTTTTTTTCATCGCATTTCAACGACTGTGTATTCACTCATATTCTAGTTATATCAACATGGACTACATGCTCTGGAAGAGCATTACGCCGGTCCACGTACGCCAATCTTGTGGACATTATTGTCTCCTATGACATTGTCTGTCAATGGAGCAAAAACATTTGGTTTCGGCTTGCGAAGTATAAGTCTGAACTTCAAGACGCGGCGAGGGGTTCTCGCCGTCGCTATGTATTCCTCATCCCTAAATTCCACCTCCCCGCCCACATCGAACGCTGTAATATCGACTATTCATTCGATCTTACTCCGAACGTCGGGCGAACAGATGGAGAAGCGCCAGAGCGCGGATGGGCAAATGTGAATCCCCTTGCGGCAAGCACCAAGGAGATGGGCCCGGGCTCTCGACGTGACACTATCGACGATCATTTCAATGACTGGAACCACAAGAAGATATTGGGGATGGGCAAGTCGCTGTTGGAGAAAATGAAGGACGCTGTTACGGAGATGGTCGAGACGAGGATCGAATTGGCGGAGCTGGAAGCTGTGCTGCCCGTGGAGGTCATAGAGACGTGGGAGGAGGTGATGAAGAAATGGGAGGAGGATTCGAGCCAACCCAACCCGTTCAGCATTACATCCAAAGTGGAATCGCTACAGGACATACGTGCACGACTAAAAGACCCATCGTCGCCGACATTTGTGCCGCTACCACCTGACTTCGCTCCCGACGACGATATTCATAACGACCTTCATGCGGCTGACCTTATCGCCATGGGCCTTACTCTCGAAGAGCAGCGACAAGCTCTTGCGAATGATGCAGCCAATTTGGGGGCCCATGCGACGGCTCTCCAGAGGTCGTCGATTGCAGAGCGAGAAGTGAAGCTGCAACGCAAATTCGTCAGCTGGTTCGACACGCAAAGAGAGTTCGCGCCTGAGATTACAGCACTACGCTCTGCTGAAGAAGCCCGCCAGGCAAACAGCGGCCAGGTTCAGCCCACGCGAGGATCCCCTCTTTATCGCCTCGCTCTCCTTCTGCCATCCGAGGCTGTCGGATGGCCCCAGTGTCGAATGCGCTCAAGCCACGCATGGTACGAGTTCCATTTGCGCCACGGGCGGGCTCTCCATCTTCTCGAGGAGTTGCGCCGATTGCTACTCTTGCGAACGCAAAAGTATAAAGCCAAGGACAAGCATGCGAGCGGCGTCGCTGGGCATACGCGAGCGGCGAAAGGGATACAGGCAGTGGATGAGAGGATAAGGCGAGTTGCCGATGAGTATCGACGAATGCGGCTCGCGATGGGGAACCTAAAAGACATTGTGGGTGACGACAAGTGGATGAGGGTCCTCAAAGACCTGAAGCCCGCTGACGTACGAGCAATGCCTCGAGCTTTATTCTCCGACCCCGACCGACGCAAACGCAGACGTGAGGACGATGAAGCCCCAAAGGAAATGTCGTGGATATGGCGTATGGGTATCGGCTCCCTCCCGACGGAACTCGCAATTGATTCGCTTAGCGCGACCGCAGCATTGAGCGAAGAGGCAGCGATTGCTGCAACAAACGAAAGTCTTCGGGTCGAATGGGCTAAGGCTCGGGCTCGTGCGAAGAGATGGGCAGAAGAAGTGGAGTTATTGGAGGAAGAAATGCGGCGAGTACTCGAGTTTTGCTCTTGGAAAGCTGCCTGGTGGATGGATCTGAGCAACCGTCGTCAAGGGGCGACAGAATCACTGATGGCGGGTCTCCGGGCCTACGCCGAGCGCCAAGCCCACATCCACTCCGCGCGTCAACTTCAGTTTGCAGCAAACTGGCGAGACGTTCCAACATTTTCGGACTTGGGACTACAGCAGGTAGACGAAATTCACCGGGCGTCAGCTGAGCCTCGAGGGCCACTATCATTAACGGTCGACGACCATGCGGCTTTCCTCCCCGTGCCGGACAGAATAGTGCTTGGCACCAACGACTGATGCTTCTTTTCCAATCTAACACAATGTACCTGATTGACCACTAAATAATGATCATCCATCCCTTCCCTGCCTCGATGTAAGCCCTCAGCACTTGGATGTTTGTGTCCACTCACTTCCGAGGCAGCTCCTCTCTCCTCCCACACATAAGCACCTTACTATGGACCAGGCCGGGCCATCTCGGTCATATCAAGCCATCTGTCATGTCGATGAGTCATGTCAAGCCATCTGTCACCATGAATCAAATCATGGGGTCGGAATTGTCTGATCGCTGTCGACGACCGCACCAAAAGAGCAGCCAAAGACCACTGGGGGAAGAAAATGGCGGGTGGACGTTCATCTCCCCGCGCTTGGGCCAGCAGGGGCCGAGGGTAGGACGTGAGCTGTCGGGCCGCGGCGCGGAGAAGGTGGCAGAGTAGCCGGGCGGGTGGAATAACCGGGCGGGGATCGCTATAGCGGGGTGGGAAGTAAGGCGGGGTAGTAAGACGCGGAAGGGAGGCGGCAACGGTGGGGCAGAGAGCGCTACGGCAGGGTGGGACGGGAGGCGGAACTGGCGGGGCGGAGAGAGCTACGGCGGGCGGGAGAGGCGGGAATAGCCGGTCCGGGGTGCGGAGCTATAACGCAATAGCAAATCGACGGTCGGGCGGGGGGAATAGCCGGGCGGTCAGGGAGGTCGGAAATAGCCGGGCGGCCGGGTGCCGGGCGGAGAGCTATCCCACAACCGCCATCAACGGCCACAAGTGATTGAATCAATTATGTTGATGGGACTAGTGATGGTGGTGCTCGTCGTCGGGCACCACATTGAGCAACCCTGGTTGTCGTGGTGGGGGGTAGCGCTGGGATCTTCTTGTCGTCGCGGACGCTGACTGGCATTTTTTAAAAAGGTTGGAGTCTAAACCACTTGGATTTTTTAAAAATGATGGCGGTGGTAGTAGGAACACGTTTTTTTAAAAGACCCTCCGTCATCTGGTGGTGAAAGCGCATCCATCAGGCCATGGTGCCATGAAAACCAGTCGATTTCGACAGCCCGGAGGGTGGACACAGCGTCGAACGAGGCGAATACGCGAGAGGCGCCATGCCTGTCATCCTCTTCGGTGAGTCGAAGACGCGTCAGCGGCTGCGTGGGTTGACAAATGCGGGCCGCGAGCGAACACGCCCCGCGGAAGACGCTAAGATTGGCAAGGAAGGGGAGAGGAAGATCCTGGGGGTGTCGCGGCGTGTAATCCGCATCTAACGTCTCGAGTTGCGTGTGAAGAGCTATGAATGCGGCCGCGCGGGGACCGAACTTGTCGAGATGAACAGCGCGGAGGAGGGGGAACCGTATGGTGGCGAGTCCAAGAAGCAGGTCATCGCAGCCGTGTGCCACGTGGAGCGTGCGGACGAGGGTGAGCTTCGCAAAGGCCTCGAGAAGACGTTTTTCGAAATCGTCGCCGTGCCCGGGAACGACATCGCTGGGTACCATTAGTCGGTGGCAATAAAGAGAACTGACGACGCACCGCTGCGGCGCGAAGAACCAAACTGAGCGCACTCGTCTGGCATAGTCAACGTTGGCTGCGAGTGTTTCGAGGATTGGGGCGGGGGTATAAGCCCCAATGTAGATGGCACGGTACAGAGTGCGCGTGCCGGCGGCATGACAGACGCGGCTGGCTTTGATGAGCGCCAGCAGCGAGCTGAAGCGGACGTGAGGGACGGAATCGATGGTATAGTTCGCAATGCGTTCAACGACTTCGAGTGGCACGCGCTGGAAAGAGGAGAGCCCCATTGTTGACTGTGATGTCACGGTGGCATAGTTTATAGGTGTCGAGTGACGCCTGGTCCGCAACAATGCGTTGGACCGCTTGCTAAGCGCTGGCGGGCCCGTCGCGGAATGACGGCCCGACCGGTTTGAATCCCAGATGTAAAGATTGCGGGGCGAGCAAGAAGTCTGCCGTCCGAGAAGTATTGGTCCGCCGTATTCGCCGTCAGCATCCCGCCGAAGCAGGGGTGTTGTCAGCGATCCCGATCGGGAGGCAAAGAGTTGGAGGAGTTTCGTCGTTGCCTCTGCGGAGGGAGCGCACGACGAGAGCGGGAAATATGTGACGAGCACCGTGCTATAGGGTGCGTCTGAGAGGCAGGTGTTGAAGGGGCAGGGTGGTGGGCACTCAAGTGACGGCGTACCATTGTGCCTAGTCGCTCCTTGTATCATCACCGGTACCCCACGCATGCGTCACCCTATGTTTTTGCGACCTCCGCCACGCGGCCAGTGCCGGCGCCGTGTTGCCGTAGTACCCAGCTCCTCCGACCTGAACAGCAACGAGTTGCCCGTGCCAGAACTCTTCAGCCTCTTCCCCGGTGTCCAAAGCTCCATCTGCACTAAGATCAGCCAGGGCCCAGCTCCGCGGGTGCCATCGCCCCAGATCGTACATCGTCAACGGCGAGACCGCACAATCTTGTCTGGCATGTGAGAAACGTCTGTGCGGCATGTGAGGGCATGTGAAGACACACCGCCGGCGACAATGATTGACTCCCTGGCTATCGTTATTGCCCCCGCCCCCAGTACCGTGGGAGGTGTCGACGCCGGGGAGAGCACGATTCCGAGCGCGTCTGAAGCTTCTACACGGGCAGGCCTGGGTGCACAAGCCCGGCGTCGTCGTGGAGCAGAAGAGAGAAGGGCGATGCCGGCAGCAGAGATTGATGTCAGCGCCTTCGGGCCCGATCGCCGGTGCCACGTAACCAGGCACGGCTTGCCTTCGTCCTCCATGCACGCGCCAGCAGACACGTTCTTGCCCAGGTATGCGCACGCGGGTGGCTCGTGCTGCTCATCGGACGTCTTGCACAAGCTTCTGCCGCGGCCCGTGTCGCAGTTCCTGGACACGCTGCGTGGTGGAGGTCGCAACGATGCATGGGAGGCCGTTATGCAGGGCGGGCTGGTGGCTAGCAGAGAATCTCCTTGTGCGCCGTCCCCTTTGTCTACGCCCCCTTCCACCCAAACTAATGAATCACTACAGACCTTGTGTTCGGTACTTTCGTCAGAACCCATCACGTAGCATTCCCTGCCCATTTTGCTAGGCTCCTCGATACCCAAATCCCCTTCACGCAGCCCCTCACTGGGCAATTCGGGCTCGTCGCACTTGAATACTGGCCCGGGCCCCAAATACGCCCACACGGGCTGGTCCCTCCCCGAGCGCGCGCGTGCACGCTGGCTTCCCTACGGCTGATACCCGCGCACCCGAAGCACCCCCCACGTCACGGTTAGCCACGCCCCGCCTCCCCGACGCGGCCACGCCGGCCCCCGGCCTCCCCCGCAGCCAAAAAAGCTTCACGTTCTAGACTTCAGCGTTGCATCGCGCCGCCGGGGGTCGAACCCGCGTCTCGCGCGGACCAGGCGTCGCGCAGACTCGCGCTGTGAGCCCGCCTCCGAGCAGTGGCCTCGGACGCCCAACAACTCACAGACAGCTCATAAGAGTAATCTGAGTACGTGACAGCAGTCTCAGCACCGACGCCGAGCATGCTACCCCGCGCCAAAGCCCCCAAGGAATACGCCAGCGCTCCGAAAATGAGCTTCGCGTGCGCCGCGCAACGGGCCCTGGATTGCCGTGGTCCTAGGGAATGCACCGTGAACGAACGCCAGCGCGTGGTCAATCAGGCGCAGACTGGCGTCGCCCGTGCCTTGGCGCAGCGCGTGCAGGGGGCGCCGGGTATCTCTGCAAGCAACGACACGTCGTGCGCGGCGACCGCGGGACGAAGCAGCGGCACGATCCGGGTGAGCAGCGCCGAGAGCCGCGCGTCGCCGCGGAGACCGGCTGCAAGAGAGACGACCTCGAGCGAGAAGACAGGGACTGCGGGAGCATCATGATGATGTCGGCGCAGTCGGGATGATCGAAGCGGCCTGCTGATGGCGCACTGCTTAGCACCACTATGCTGCGGCATCACGGACAAGACTCCAGTTGATCAAGATTCCCGGCTGCGGCCCCACAGAGGCGCCGCGCGTCAGAAAACCCAGTACCGTGGCTTACGGGGACAATGAGCTTGCGCAGTTGCTGCATGCATGGCCGGAATTCGGGCTCCGTGAACCGAAGTTGCACCCGGGGACTGGCTTGGCAGTGCAGTGCGAACGGCGGCATCGTGTATGGAGACCGCTCAAGACTTGTCATTTCGAACTGGACTCGCGCACGAACGAAAAGGACACGTGTCAAAACGTGCCGCGGGGAATGTCCGCAAACATGCCATCCTATGTTATTGGAGGCGGCAGGATCTGCTCTAGAAGTTCGCGACGGAAGGGCGGGCAAATGGTGAGCTCCGAGTAATCGGGACCCGCCGCCACCGATCCTGTTGACCACGCAACACAGCAAGAGAGAGGAGCGGCCTAGCGGTTTGCGGCGCTGAACTGGGAGGGGCAAATATGCAGTCAGAATGCGTGTAGGAGCAACAGACGCACTTCATTCTGAAGGTCCACCGCCTTTCGTTGTCGAGCCTCCAGTTTTGCTATGCGTCGGCGCAGAATCCGTGAGCGGGATGGAGGCAGAGAAGGGAAGTGCAAGAACCGTTAGAGTTTGAGCGGTCGATTGGCAATTGCAAGGACGATTAGGTTTTCCGCCTCACCATACCCGCGCCTTGAGCTTTGGTGGGGAGAAGGGAATGTCGACCCGGGATCGCGCTGAGCACAAGGACCATCGTATAAGACTGTCGATCAGTGGGCGGGTGAAAAAGAGATGGGGGGGGTGAAACACAAAGGAAGGCGCACAACAAGCCATGTAGAATCCCTCGTCGCAGCGAGACCTCCGTCCACCGGCGCCGTTGCTCATGTGTGCCCAACGCCGGCCAGCGGTGTCGAGGATAGGACATTCTGGGAGCTTGGAACTCCGGCCTTGACGTCACAGGGAGCAATGTGCTCATATGCAAGGCGGGAGCGTGTCTGCGGCGCGGACATGGAGGGAGAAGACAAGCCGGGGGTGCTTACGTGGCACCAGTGATCGGCGATCAGGAACGCGGCCGTGATATCAATCTATCACCTCTTTCCTTCGCTCCACAACGACACGATATGATGTCCTGTGCGCCTGCGAGCCGCCCTGCGCACGGACGACGCTGACGTCAACGAGAGTGCAGACAAGGCGAAGGAGCAGGCCCAGTTTCTTTGGTGCGTGGCCAGACTTTGCCCGGCCCCCGCTTGTTCTCACAACTCACTGGCAGACGGAGTTACGGACCAGCGTACAATGGGCCGCGCTCTATCCCGCTTGGGACCAGAGAACATCCTGGACGTAAGCGCAAATCCTGCCTACAACGCGCTGTGTCCACTCGCACTCAAGCATCATCGCCCGTGCGACCCACACGCTCCACGCTCCACGCCTACCTCCCCGAGCACCCGAACCACTCCCATGCCGCGCGCCCCCCGCCTCCCACGCCTGACACCCTGACGATGCCAAGCCGCCGCCACAAAAGCCTCGCTTTCTTGACTTTATTGCAACATCGCGCGGCCGGGGGTCGACCCCGCGGACTCAGCGTGCGCCGTGCGGTGCGCACTGCGCAGCCTCCATGCCGCCAGCGGGCCTCCGCCAGCTGCATACGAGCACGGTGCCCCCGCCAAATGCCCGGCGCTCCGCGCAAAAAGACTTTTGTGCGTTCTCATCATACGCCGGGCGGCCCGGGGGCCGACCTGGCGCTTGCGCTCGTGTCTGTGTCGGCTCTGTGCGCCGCTATATGCAGTAGACGTGGTCTACCTTCGTTGCCACTTGCGCGGGAATCTGCCCCGACGGGCCGCCGCAGGAACGCCTCCATCGGGTACGCCTCCGCGGCGCTCGGGACCGCAGCGCGCGGGATGACACAGGCACGGGCGCGTTAAAGAGACTGTGTGGCCCTCGTCAGTGCCGCCAGCAGGAGCGCGACGGCGCACCTGGCTCAGTCCCGCGCCGAGTCGGTGTCGGACATGACGGGCAGAAGAAAGTTGACCATTACTCAGCACCTCACTTTTTCACCACGACGACCGGATGGCTTATTGCGTGTCCGCGGGCCCTGGGGCCGCACAGGCGGTAGTACAGGGGCAGTAGTCCAGGGCGGCCTTTGCCTATGCGGGGTATCGCCGGGGTTTTCCACGAAGGACGGTCCGAGTCGCTGGGGATGGTGAAAACTTGAAGGGCTGTATAAGGTGCGTTGACAACGCATCCGTCTTCGGCCATATCCAAACTTTGTTTACAGCGGATGTACCACGACGCCCCACATTCACAAAATGCGTTGCGCGGCCCCTCCACAGGCATACAAGCGCGTTCGCCGCCTCCCTCGAGCTCGCACTCTTCGTCCCACGACTACCCGGTGTCGCCAGCCCGGTTCCTCGCCTTTCCACGCTATATCCAGACCGTATCACCATCGACACCACACGCTTGATCTCCAATCCTCCAATCACTCTCCTTACCTCGCCGGTCTCGCTCTTCTTCCCGCCCATCCGCCAGCAGCAACAGAAGGCTGGCGAAAGGCTGTGAGCGCGCCCGCATCGAGCGCCGAGGCTCGTCGAACTTGAATACCGGCCCGAATACGACCACACGCGCTGATCACGCCCCCGCGCGCGCGGCCGCGGCGTACGCCAGGCCGCCCGCCTCTGGCTCGTGTTGACGTTCGCGCCGGACTTCCCCACCCGAAACACTCCCACGGCCCGTCTGCCTGACAGATCTCCGACGATGCCAAGCCGCGGCCGCCTCCGTCCACCCCAGCCAAAAAAGCTTCACTCTTACGACTTTACCGTCGCATCGCGGGGCCGGGGGTCGAACCCGCGTCGCGCGCAGACCACGCGTCGCGCAGACTGGCGCTGTGAGCGCGCCTCCGAGCAGTGGCCTCATACAAGCTTCAGCCAAATGGAACCCTGCCGGGGCCCGCCCCGTCCCTGGGCCTTGCGCGCGCTCCCCTGGCCTGGCATAGCCCACCGCGCCGGAGTCAAACCGGCGCCTCCGCCCCCGTCCACCCCCAGCCAAAAAAGGCTTCGCTTTTTCGACTTGAGCGTCGCATCGCATCCCGTCGCCGGGGGTCGAACCCGCGTCGCGCAGACTGGCGCTGTGAGCCCGCGCCCGAGCAGCGGCCTCCGAGGCTCCGCCATCCCACATACGAGCCGCAGCCAAATGGAACCCCGCCCCATCCCCGTCCCTGGCCTGGCATAGCCCACCGCGCCTCCTTGGCGCCTCCGCGCCTCCGCGCCCGCGCAAAAAATACTTGGGTTAACGTTGTGGGCATTGCAATACGCTGCCCATACGTCTATGTCCACCGTGTGCGCCGCCAGATCTATCTAGACGCGGTCTCCGTGGACACTGGACGCTCGCAGCCCCAAAAATTTCAAAATGAACGCTTTTCTATCCGATCTATCATTATAGGCGCCGCGCGGGGCTCGAACCGCGTCGACTGTAGCGCTACGCATGCAGCCCCACCGCGGAAGTGGGTACATACATACAAGCCCTCAGCTAGATGGAACCTGGCGCGCGGCGAGAACCGGCGCCGACGGACGCGTCGGCTTCGTGCGCCGCTAGAAGGAGACGTGGTCCCAACCTGTACTACGTACGCCCAGGATCCGCGTGACACCACCCGACATTTCATCTCCTGCCTGCCGGGCCGGACAGCCGTCGATATCTCTGACGCTGCCAACTTGGGTCCCCGCCGGCGCCGGCGCCGGCCACGCCCCGGGCCCCGCGTCTGCGTCGGCCTCCGCTGCGCCCGCGCCAAAAGCAAGAGACGCGCATCCAAGAACGCCACATGCGGGTCGATCACGGCGCCAGTTGCGCCGTTAGTGCCAGTGCCTGCCCGGCCCTCCACTGCCAGCAGGACGCACTAGGCCCGCAGTCAGATGGAACCCCGCACCAGCCCCCGACGCCATCGTAATCGTGATATGGCTCGCGCCAACACCCCCGGAAACAGACTGCTCGCGTTCTTGTTCTTGTAATACGCCGAACCGGCGCCTCCGTCCATGTCGGCCGCGTATGAAGACGGGGTCTACGGCGCTCGTTGCCGCCAGTGGCTGTACATGTTCATGCCCCGAGACACACTTCGGGCAGCGGCACGCGGCAAAAGCAAGTATCATTTGCTCTCCGGCGAAAAGTCAACATGTACTCACGCTATGTGCGCGCCGGGGCGTCGAACCGCGGGCCGCGTCATGTTCGGCGTTGCGCCCTGGTCCTGACGGGGCTGGCGGGACTGCGCGAGGAATGGTCCGTACCCCCGCCAGGCACGCACCGGAGCTCCGGCCAGCAAAAGCCTGGGATTGAAGTACATCAATGTGCCCCGCGGGGGTCGAACCCGCGTCGGTTCATGTGGGAGTCTAGACATCGCCCGGGCTCGTTGACGCATGCGGCAGCAGCAGTGCGCACACCACCCAGCTCATAGGAGTGATCTGAGTACGTGATAGCATTTCCAGCTCATCCACATTAAGCCCCCAGTGATTGCCCAGGGTTCAAAAATCTACAACGACGTCGCGCATGCCATCCCGCGCCAAACCCTTTAACGGATGTCCTAGATCCCGGAAAATGAGCTCCCCGTGCGCCGCACAACGGGCTCTGGATTGCTGTGATCCCGGGAAATGCACCGTGAGTTGTAGCGCCAATCGGACGCGCCGGCCCGGGCCCGCCAGCGCGTCGTCGATTAGGTGCAGGCTGGCGTCGTGCACGATGGAGCGCGGGATGTCCCAGACGAACGAAAAGGACATGTGTCGAAACGTGCCCCGGGGAATGCCCGCAAACCAACGTGCGAGAGCATCGGCCAATATAGGAGAGACATATTTCCATGAGCCATTGTCGCCAAAGACGGCCAATGAGGTGACCCTTGTGAGGCGCGAAAAGAGGCCGGCGATGGCCTCCCCCGCGCCGACGGCGCCGGCCCACTTGGCAGGGAGCCTACCGACGACGAGATAGACCTTGGCGACGAGCGGAGCAAAGTGGGGCCAAGATTCGAAGCGCGCTGCTGCCTCCAGAAAGCCCTTTTTGCCCCCCCGCGGCGGCGTCACCGAGCCAGAGCGTGCTGAAGAGGCGCTGCTGGCAGGCGAAGCGGAAGCGGCGGGCCGCGAGGGCGCACGACGCCAGGTCCTCCGTGCTGTCAACGTTGCCGACGATCGCGATTGTAAGCTCGGGTGGGAGGTCCATGAGGGCGGAGCCAAGAAGTGCGGCGTGACATCGCGCCACGTGTCGTTTCATGTATGGGGGCGTTCCAAATTGGGAATTTGCACCCAATTTCGGCCTTATTCCGAGCCTCGGGTAAAAAGGCTCGTCACATCTTTTTCACGCGCCCGCGCCGAAAAAGGGATTCAGGTTTGCATGTACAAGGGCTAGGTTAGGCAAGACTCGGAAGTGCGCGCGTTGCGCAGGACAGTGGCCGCCCCCATGCAGTGGCGACCGTTCTTTGACCGGCGCCTGCAGACGCGTGTGTGTCGGCGTTGTGCGGGCGTCATGGGAACACCATCGCGAGCGGCGACCGAGAAAGCCTGAGCATGCTCAGCTTGCGTAATGCGGGAATGTCGCCGCGATGTCGGAGGTCCAGGGAATGAGCTCGGAGCAGAGGACGAGCTCCGACATGCCATGCTATGTTATTGTGTAGGAGTTCGCGACGGAAGGGCGGACCAATGGTGAACTCCGAGTAATCGGGACCCGCCGCCACCGATCCTGTTGACCACGCAACACAGCAAGAGAGAGGAGCGGCCTAGCGGTTTGCGGCTCAGAACTGGGCGGGGCGATATATGCGGTCAGAATGCGTGTAGGAGCAACAGACGCACTTCATTCTGAAGGTCCACCGCCTTTCGTTGTCGAGCGTCCAGTTTTGCTATCCGTGGGCGCAGAATCCGTGAGAGGGAAGGAGGCAGAGTACGCAAGTACGCGAGCTGCCAGAGTTTGAGCGGTTGATTGGCAATTGTAAGGACGATTATGCATAGATTCCGCCTCGCCATAACCGCGAGCTTTGGTGTGGAGAAAAGGGAATGTCGACCCGGGATCACGCTGAGCACAAGGACCATCGTATAAGACTGTCGATCAGTGGGCGGGTGAAAAAGAGATGGGGGGGCGAAACACAAAGGAAGGCGCACAACAAGCCATGTAGAATCCCTCGTCGCAACGAGACCTCCTTCCACCGGCGCCGTTGCTCAAGCATAGCATTTGTGCCCAACGCCGGCCAGCGGCATCGAGGACAGGACATTCTGGGGGGTTGGAACTCAGGCCTTGACGTCACATGGAGCACTGTGCGCCCCGTGTGTGCTCATATGCGCGGCGGGAGCGTGTCTGCGGCGCGGACATGGAGGGAGAAGACAAGCCGGGGGTGCTTACGTGGCACCAGTGATCGGCGATCAGGAACGCGGCCGTGATATCAATCTATCACCTCTTTCCTTCGCTCCACAACGACACGCTTTCACGATATGATGTCCTGTGCGCCTGCGAGCCGCCCTGCGCACGGACGACGCTGACGTCAACGAGAGTGCAGACAAGGCGAAGGAGCAGGCCCCGTTGCTTTGGTGCGTGGCCAGACAGTAGACTTTGCCCGGCTCCCGCTCGTCCTCACAACTCAGACGGAGTTACGGGACAGCGTACAATGGGCCGCGCTCTATCCAGCTCGGGACTTGCTCGGGACCAGAGGATATCATCGACGTAAGCAATTGTCGGGTACCCAACACGGCACCCATTCCGCTGGGCGCCCTCTCTGTTGCGGTTAAAACCCTTGTTCATGCTTTCTTCCCTCATGTCCCTCTCATCTTTTTCCTCGGAGCTCGCCGCCCGCATCGTGTACTTCCTCCCCAATTCCGCTGGCCTCTCCATCGCGGCACTGGTGCACCCTTCCTTCACCCACTGGGTGCGTGCCGCCCGATCGCAGCCCTATGCGGCGCTTGGCATGAACGGGGTGTGTCAACGGTGCAAGGCCCTCCACCCCGCGAACCTGCCCGGGCACAGCATGCGGCAAAAGAATGGAAACGCAAATTGCCATAGGCTCGCCCCGGGCGTCGAACCGCAGGACGCGTCAGCGCCGCGGCGGCGGCGGGAGGTTCACAGCCGAAGGTGGAGTGGTGAGCTGGACCTAGCCCAAAGGCTGTGCCAAGCTGCCCCCAAAAACCGGAAGGAAGGATACCACGCGTGCGCGGCGGGGGGTCGAACCCTCGGCCGGCGCCGCACACGGGCGCCGCCGCCAGTGCGGACGGAACACCACTAGGGCTCGGGCGTCGCCAAGCCGGAATGCCCAACACTCCACTCTAACATCGTGCCTGCGCGCTGAGGGGTATAGCACGCCGGGGGTGTCGGCAATCTCCGCCTATTAGCACCGCAGCAGGGGCACCCGGGCCAAAAAGGTGCAGTAATTCTAACAAAGTGCAAGATCGCGCCGCGCGGGGTCGAACCCGCGTCTCGGGTTAAAGGTTTGTGGGTGACCCTGTGTCATGTAAGCACGCCCGCTGTACTGCTTCCTAGCTTCCCCACCGGCCCGCCCCGCGTCAAGCTGTGGCCCGCCCGCGTACGCCAAAAGAACGCGCCATCGAAGAATGACACACGGGCGGCGTCTCTCGCGCCGGCGTGCGCACAGCCTACGCCGCAGCGGATGGCACCGGACCCGAAGTACTGCGACGCCTCTGCCAAGCCGTCCCGAAGAAAGCGGAAGGTTCCCCATCGTCCTGGCCCCCACGCGGCCAAAGAAAGGCCATGCACGCTCACAGCTACCCCCCGCGCCTGCCTGCGCCAAAAAAGAGAACCAACCCTGATCCATCAAACATTGCGCACGCCCGTGAACTTGAAGGGTAGCAGGCCAGGCGCTGCGTCTTCTATATGCCCCACCCAGCACAACGCATGTCTGCGGCGAGGCACCCCACGGTGACGACATAGCCCTTGGGTTCAAATTCGCACCATTGCGGCGTGTCTTCTCCTTTCCATTGGTCCAGCGCCTGCTAGCCGTCCTCTACACACGCACGCACGCGACACCGACCCCGCCCAAGGATACGCCATTGGTAGCCTCCGCGCTATCCCCCACGGCCCAGAACCGCCGTCCTTTCCGACCTTGAGCCGTCAACGGAGGAAGATGGGAGCAGAAGGAAAAGAAGAAAAACGTGGCGTTACGGCATCATTGGCCAGGGCCGATCATTATCGCTGTCACGGTGTGACTCACCCACGCTTGACCGTCATGTCCACCGCCACGTTTTGCACCGACGACGTGCCCGACGAGCTGTGGCTCGAAATCGCCTCCCATCTTCGGTGCGCACAGCTCCAAACACTTCACCAGCTAGACAAGCGCTTGAGCCGGCTCACCCGCCCCTTGCTCTTCGCCGAGCTCACCTTTTCGCGGACGTTTTGCGCGTCGCCGACGCCGCCGATCGTTCGAGAGCGGGCAGAAGCGTCTGGGCTTCTGGCTGTCGGAAGATATGGCCCAGCTAGTGCGATCGTGCCACCTGAGCGTCAGGGTGCTGAGCGAGCAAGAGATTACCACGCAGATACCGATCGGTACGGACTTTGTCCTCCCCAGGGCAGACGAACTCGACTTCCTATCTCGCCGCCTCGTCGAAAGCCTTTCCCACTTTACTGGACTGCGGCGCCTGGAAGTTGACGATGAAACTCTATCGATGGCCGCGATTATTGGCATACATGGGTTGCCACTGCTGGAGCGCTTGGACCTTACGCGCTGCCATGTTGAAGACGACGCAATTGATCTATCCCTGGCTGTGACACAAGCGCCGCTTTCCGTCGTGGAGTTGTCCGCGTTCCAGTCCGTTGCCCCAGAGAAGGAGCGGTTCTGGAGCGCGTTTTTCAATGCCGATAGCCTGCGTGCTGTCACTCTGAACATCCAACTTGCTTTCTGGCTCCAGGATTCGCAAGTGGCACCAGTATTCCGGCGCACGACTAAACTCACATTGCTCTATCTCGCAACCGCCCCCGCTGCATCGCTGCCCCACGTTCTCGCGAAATCATTCCCCGCCCTGCAAGACCTCGGCCTCTTCCCTGCATCCCCCGCGCCGCGGCCTGAAGATGAACCAAACGAGTCGACACGGAATCCCCATGAATCCTTGTGTCCCATTCTACGCACCGCGCTCCTTCCAATTGCCGGCCAACTGGTGCACCTCCGTGGGTACTACAGCATCCTGGAACATTTTTCCATGGAACCGTGGCGGGTGAGCCACCTCGGCCTGTCGCCGCACCTCTTCTACGCGCTCGACGATCTTGCTGTGGCCCTCGACCCCTGCGCAACGCTCACGCATCTCTCGCTGAGTATATTCGACGTCGACACGCCGAGTCTGAACGCGACCCTGCGGCTCTATCCGCGGCTGGAGGCGCTCTACCTGCATGGCCTGGATCTCCCACTTGTAAATCCTCCTCCAGCCATGCCCTGCTCATGTCCATTGACTGAATTTCCAGCAAATGCCGATCTGGACAGAACTGGCCTCGGACCTCGCTCTGCCACCGACGCTGCGCGCACTGCTCGTCAATACGAAGCGCTGGCCAGACATCCCCGGAGAAGTGGCAGAAGCCGGCGTCCCGCCGACCGACACCGCGGCGCGTGCGCTGCTGGACGCGTTTGTGGGCCGGTACCCGCAGCTCACGCTCCTCTGGATCCGCGGACGGGACTTCTTCATCATGCGTAGCGGGGAGCGAGGGGCAGACGAGCGCGTCGTGGCCGTGTGCGACGATGTTGATGCGGTTAGCGACAAGTACATCGACTTGTGGAACCGGCAGTCAGAGTTTGTCTAGAGTAAGTACTCAATATATTTGTAGTGCAGTATAACCATATTCAGCAGCAAAATATGTGTTCTGAAGATATTCAAATATAATTTAGTATACATATTCCTGGAGATATTCAACATATCTGCTGCAGAAAAACTAAAAGCATAAGATATATGCTAGACTCTCAGGATAACTTCCTGTAGTATAACAGTTTGTGGGCATTATTTCAGATGAGTCAATCACATGATTCTGTGAAATGCCCAGTTGTCATGCATCTCATGGTCGGTCAGTCCCACAAACATTACTCTCACCTGTGGATAAGCACATAAAAGAAATATTTCCCTCTGAATCATAATTAAAGACTTAGAGTGCATGATTAAAGACTTAGAGTGCATGAGCTAGTGAACCATTCATAGGTTTCACCTAGGGTGCAGGATTGAATTATGGGGGGTTATTAAAACCGGTTTGAACTCCCAGCCGATTTAGAAACCGGTTTGCAAACAGGGATTGATTAAAATTGCCTAAAATGGCAATTTTTGACCTTTTGAATGATTTTTTGGGCTAGCATATGTATTCACTTGTTCTTTTACACCATTTCTCAAGCTTTCAGGGTACCCCCTGCTATCCTAAGTTATATTCTGTGTTGTCTGTATATGGTGTGACCCTATCACTGATGTGATGGTAACACTTAGAGCCTTTAAAAGACCTCCAGTAACATTAAATGGAGAGTAACAATAGTTGATTAGGATGTTACCTTTATAGCTGTAAGTATAGCTGCTACAGCAGGAGCCAAAGTCTGTCTAAAACCAGTGAATTGCCTAATTTTCCCACGGGTCATGTGTTTTGAAACAGCACTTTTTCTGGAAATAATTAAAAACAGCGGTTTGAAACAGCTGTTTCGAAACGCGGTTTGAAACACCACTTAAATCCTGCACCCTAGTTTCACCTTCATATTGGACCTAGTGTTCTTCTGCTTTCTATACAACTATACTCTCCCAAAACAGGCAATCACCAATAAACATCAGAAAGATCTAACAATACAATTAAAAAAAAATTAAAAACATTTTATACTGGTGGCAGGGATAGCTATATATAGTTCTGGTCAGTTCCAGCCAAATCCATTGAGAAATGCAGGGTAAATATCAGTCTATAAATGATGTTGTGTAACAGTTCTATAGAGTGAAAATTTGACTGCTGGCTTTTTCTTTTATAAATTGGAAATAGTTTTCAAAAACTACCAGTTACTCGATCAAGGTGAGATTCCATGCATTATTGGTCACCGGTTGGTGCAGGTGTTTGGGATGATTGTCGGCGGTGCGCGGAAGTTCTGACGATTATGTATACGTTTCTTGAATTCCACATTTTATGCAAGCTGCAATCTCCATGTGATGCAAAGCCTTACTGAAAGAGTACTGCAACAAGGTCAAACCAATCATCATTTCTTGACTGGCGGCCCTTAGCGAGCGCGGACATTATGTAAATTTGATCTAGGACCCCAAAGCCTCCTGTCGCGCCGGGAGGATGGGATGTCACGTGATTTGAGGCCGGAATATGTAAATAGCAACAGTTCAGTTCTGTTAGAATGATATATAATAACCCGAGTTGTTCCAGATGGAAGGTGCCTTGTCAGAATACTAAGTTGCCTACAAGTGACAATTGCTTGTTTAACAAAATTTTGAAGTTGTCTTAAAATTACTTATGTTTCTATTTCAAACTTGTTGTTTATTTATTAATGTTACAGTCTATTGCCCATACTGAAGCAGGGGTTCCCCTGACAAGTACATCAGGGGGGGAGTTCTGTAGCACGATATAGCCAGTGTAGCGCCCCCATTGGATTTGTAGTATAATATAGCACTATATATCGTTGGTGACATATGTTGTAGCTGCATGTTGTATCTGTAGTAGGGCATAAAATACATTGGCTTCAACTTCTGAATCTGACTCTACCAGTAATTACTCGACTCCCCGTAACAATACAAAATCAATATGCCAAAGATAAGGATTGAGATAAAAGGATTGCACCACATCCAGGACATTTTCTGATGTCAATCCCACTGGAATTTCCCGGGGTAATTTGAAAATAAGGTGACAGCTTCGATTGATTAGAGTGATTGGGATAATAGAGGCATGGCACCGATTTTGGTGAGTGAGCCCTACGCATGTCCGCGCTTTCCTGGGTTTGGTGCGTTTTGTCGCACAATTTCTGCCGAGGCTTGCAGAGCAGACGGAGATACTGGCACAGCTAACGACAAAAGCAGCGGAGTTGTGCTGGCCAGGTTGGCAGACCCACCACCAGGCTGCGTTTGATGCGATTAAACAGTCTGTTGCGAGCGCCGAATGTCTAGTGTCTATCGACCATCAAAACATGGGCGATAACCAGATTTTCGTTACCACTGATGCCAGCGACACCCGCTCGGGCGCTATCCTCTCGTATGGGCCGACATGGGAGTCAGCGCGACCGGTGGCTTTCGACTCTATGACCTTCAAAGGGGCAGAACTGAACTACCCTGTGCACGAGAAAGAGCTCCTCGCAATCATACGAGCCTTTCGAAAATGGCGGTCTGACTTGATTGGCTCAAGAATTCAAGTATTCACCGATCACCGCACCTTGGAAAAATTTTCCACACAACACGATCTCTCCCGCCGCCAGGCGCGATGGATGGAGTTCTTGTCGCAGTTTGAAATGAAAATCATTTATGTGCCCGGGAAAGATAATGAGGGTGCCGACACACTGTCCAGGACAGACTTTATCGAGAACGACCCACATGATGTGGATGGGCCAGAGGTCGAGGAGCTGCCCGTGGCGGCCTGCTTGCCTGCACAGATTGGGGCAACAATTGCCATGACACTGACGAGAGAGCCGCGGCTCGTGAATTCCGAGTCGTTGGCGCTGAGTGCGAGCATCCTTGACATAACCGCAGATGACTCCTTGCTGGAGTCGATCAGAAAAGGCTACGAGCTGGACAAATGGACAGCTAAGCTACCAAGCCTTCTTGGATCGCTGCCCGGTTTGCGTTCAGAAAATGGGCTGTGGTTTATAAAAGACCGGTTGATAATCCCTCGCGTGAACAACTTACGAGAATTATTCTTTCAAATGGCCCATGATGCACTGGGCCACTTTGGCTTCGATAAGTCGTACGCCTCGCTACGAGACGGATACTACTGGCCGAATATGCGCAAAGAATTGGAATCCTGTTATATTCCCGCCTGTGCCGATTGCCAACGGAACAAGTCCCGTACCACGCGTAAGACGGGGCCTTTGCACCCACTGCCCATCCCGGACGGGCGTTGTGACTCTGTTGCTATGGATTTCGTGGGTCCGTTGCCAGAGGACGAAGGGTACAACTGCCTAGCGACGCTGACTGACCGACTTGGGTCAGACATTCAGCTTGTCCCGACGCGGACTAACATTTCCGCAGAGGATTTTGCACTTCTGTTCTTTGATAGATGGTACTGCGAAAACGGACTTCCCCTGGAATTGATTACAGACCGCAATAAACTTTTCGTATCCAAGTTCTGGAAGGCGCTTCACAAGTTGACCGGGTGAAGCTTAAGATGTCGACGGCATATCATCCGCAGACAGATGGATCGAGTGAACGAACAAATAAAACTGTCATACAATGCATCCGTTACCACGTGGAAGCTAATCAGCGTGGTTGGGTGCGTGCACTACCACGGATTCGTTTCGCTCGACCCCCGGTGTTAACTCCTGAGGGTCAAGAGGAGTTCCTCGTCGACCGCATCGTGGATGAACGTGTCTATCGTGGCAGACGGCAGTTCAAAGTCCGGTGGTATGGTTACGGCAATGAGGACGACGAGTGGGTGGACGAGTCTGAGGTGCAGGACCTTGAGCACTTGGATGCATGGGAAGCAGGCCTTTCACAGGACGGTATCACAGAGCGAGGCTTAGCAGACGCTACAGCCACTGATGATGAAATCGTTCCGCCTACTGCCGTTGCAACAAAGAATACAGTGGTGGACACGACTAATGACATTTGTTCTCGTCTTCGGACTAGAAATGAATTGGGTAGAGCAATAACATTGTCTGTGTAACCCAGTGGATACTGGTATGTGAAGCGCTGACTGTGTTGTGGGAGGGTAGTTTTTTCTCTGAGAAGGGGAGGGTGTAAACCTGGCCTTATGCCAGTTCACAGGTAGTCATGTGATCATCTTTTTTCTCTCTTACGCCTACATCACTTGTACGCATAGTCTGTGGAATCCCCCTCATACAAGGGTCTTATTGCATCTGGCCCTTGGCTGAGTTGTCTTCTAGTGTTTCTGGGCTGAGGTACGCCCAGTTTCCAGGTAGCTAGGTCATAAGTGTGACAACCAGGTAAGAAGGTAGCAAGGTAGCAGTTCAAGTTAGGTCAGGTTAAGTGCAATTGCAAGAACAGGGAAGCAAGGGATCTTGTTTATAGGAAACAAGTGGCCAGGAAGCAAGTTTGTTTGCATATTTGAGTTAGTATCTTGTGACAAGAACAGATACATTCTCTTGTTCATTTTGTGAAGCACTTTGAAGGTTGAGCTTAACTTTTCCTTCCTCTTAGGAAACAAGTGGCCAGGAAGCAAGTTTGTTTGCATATTTGAGTTAGTATCTTGTGACAAGAACAGATATATTCTCTTGTTCATTTTGTGAATCACCTTGAAGGTTGAGCTTAATTGTTCCTTCCTCTGTGTTTCATAACAACAGTACAAAGTGATCTGTAGGAAGTTGTTAATAAGCAGATTCTATTGCTATATTTGGATATTCTGAATCTGTTAGTTGTTTCCTGCAACTTGAACCCCCGAACACACACACACACACACACACACACACACAAAATTAGTGGATTAGTAGATTAATAGGGTTGAGGTCTTGATTGAACTCCTCTATTAGTTCACTTTCCCAGTGTGTTAACGGCGGGCAGGTGTGGGGGGGGAGTCCTAAAATGAGTTAGCGGCCAGGAAATTAAACAGAAGCGATCACACACCTTCAGCTCTATGGTGGACTCATGCGCGGCAGTTCCAAGGACCAGCAGCTAAATGGC